AATCGAAAAAATAACAATGATAAACAATTAAATGGTCAGATCAACATGTGATTATTTGGAAGTATTCTTGATATACTCGACAAAAATGCACGAAATGAACTGTTCAAACTGAACAGAAAGTATAAATAAAGTATGCTTAGAGAAAACAATATTCCGAATAGAGAACGGAATACTTTCTTTCGTTCTGTTGTCAAATGTTCATGATTCACTCAGCTGCGATATAAGTTAGGTGAAAACACGTGTAGTGCTTCATAATATCGATCAGAAAAGCGACCGCAATATTTTGTATTACTTTCTATGATTCTTTCTCTACACATACAATCAGTTTGTAGTCCATTAAAATATCTCGAAAACACACTGGTCGATTCGAAGGTTTTGATCATCACCATTCTCATGCTCATATTACCATTATGAGTTGACGAAATGTCATTTCATAATATGCCATTCTAAACAGTGTTTTCAAGGCTCGAAGCTCATATAAATATAGTTAGGTACTGGTCACTCTTTGTTTATATAGACAATAATTTTTATCAAGACCCAGAACTTATGAGACACCCTTTATTTCGTACATTACTTCGTCATAATGAGCACAACCTTCGCAAAATATCTTTTATAGACTATTTGTTACAATGATAAAAAAAAAAGTCGAGAAGAAGTTTATCTTCATGTTTGATTTAATTAATGAGAAATATATTTTTGATTTATGAAATTGTCAGAAGTATGTATATGCTTGCTTATCTGTCATTTATACTTATGTTTTATCTACTTTATCTTATTTTCATTTTATATTTCATTCATACTCTTTCATTTCGTTTTGATTAATTCTGTAATATTGCCTACATTTTTATTCATGTTAATCTATCTTATATTATAAAACAGAGAATCTTTCATTTATTTATATCGACGACTTCAATTATTTCAATAATATGGAAACGAAAAAATTATTCACAAAACTCGAAAAAATTATCAAGTTATCATGTAGAGAATCGAAAAAAATAATTTTGCACGTAAACATTGCAGCAGTGATTTGACGTATAGATAATTTTACGTTTGATTTGTTCTTTCCAATTGAAAAAAACAAAAAATCTTCGAACCATTCGATCAACTTATTTCTTTTTTTGGACCATACAGATACTTTTGAATTCACTACCAATAACTAGACAAAAAAAAAAGGAAGAAAATTATGCAATTAACTTTGATTAACTCACGCGTGGATCAAACTTTGTGCTTTAAGTTGTAATTTCTTTCTCCTGTTTAATTTAGCTACATCCTTTTTGATATGTGAGAAAAGACAGAAAAAGCCAAATCACTTTAGTAAACTATGCTATAAAATCTCACTTAAAATATCTAACTAGGCTAAAAGGACTATGTCAAAATAAAATTTAACTTTCTCGTACGTTTAATATTGTCTTCTTCTTTTAATTGAATCAATTATTTACTTAAAGATTTTCACCGTCATTAGTAAATTATACGATTCTTTTTTATTAAATACATATAGTGTCCTTCGCATCCTAGAATATTATAATAGACAGCGTTCAATAGAAATGATAAGTAAATTTAAAAGAATGTTACACTTGGCTCTTCTTTACCACGCACAAGTCTATCATATGCAATTTGAAAAATAGGTTCCTTAATCACTCCAACACGATGATAATGAGTACGCGTGCTAATATAAGGTGAAAGTTGTTCAAATGTATGTTTAAGTTGTTTTCGAGCCTTTTTTCTCTCTGATAATATACTGTTACTTTCATTGCCGTTAGCCCACTGCAAAGTAACACTCAGATAATGTCGAACCGCATCCCGATGTGCTGCTTCAGCAATTGCTTTGCCTTTCGTGTCAGCTCGAAAAACATTAAATATTGCTTCATCTTCAGCAGACGATGGAATGTATTGAAAATTCGGTTGAGTACCATATAACCTTTCCGGAAGAACTGATGGATCAATCAATTCGATCAATTCTTCTTCACTATGAATAAATCGTACTTTCTTTTGAACAGTTGAGCTTAACCAAGATTTAATTAGTGCCCAAGTTTTACCTAATATCCAAGGAAAGTTAAGAATTAGTATATGACCCAACGAATCTGGATAGTAGTTGTCGAGTAAGGTAATAAGAAATTTAATTTGATGAAGATCCATGTTTTTTGCTTCAGAGCCAGCCATGTCAAAAATGACCGTTACAGATTCCATCGGTGGTTGTAGCAGCTTGCGATAGGTTTCTACACAGAAGACAGTCAATTTCTCGCTATATTCGTGAGGAAATTGGCCTTTGATATGTTCTTTTGGATGAATGCAGCAAACTGGTCGACCTTCTCTATCATGACCCATGAAATAAGTCTTCCCTGTTGCAATTTCTTCTTCAGAAATAGCTCTTTCACCATTAGCTATAAGCTCTTGAACGCCCCAATCATGTCGCCACTTTAATGTTTCTATTATTTGACTAACAGAAGCATTAACATTCCATTTACGAGAACGAAGCCATCGAAGTAAAAGTACATCTGGATTATCATAGCCAATTGCACGAAATAATTCGTCTCCATAGACAGAATCAGCTATTTGATTGTCTTTTAACGATGTTTCCTTGCTTATAGCATTGATCAAATTGATCCATGCTTGTTTAAGTGCATTTGTATGTGCTCTGCCAAGATTATCTAGTACAAAATTCATGAATAAATGTCTCTAAATTTTATTAACTTACTGATATGTCCATAATCGTTCGCTGTCATTAATTTAACTTTCAAAAAAAGCTATCAATTGTGTTTAATGTTGATAATGACCCTGAAAGAAAAAAAAACAAGATTGATTTGCATAATTCGTGTACAAGTAAAAGAAAATTATTCATTTTTTTCAATAGCACACAACAAATTTATTAAAAAAGCCTAACGTATGCTATGAAGTAATACAAATAGTACAAGCTTTCGAAAATTTTTTGTTTTGATAAACAACACATGCTTACTTGTTTCTGTTCCTTATTCATATGACTTTCAGTCAACTTATATATACATAGGTGTGTAATTACATTAAAATATTTACACTTTGTTAGAGCTGCTCATTCATCCATATCATGTTTTATGACGATGCGAAAATACACGTACATTGAAGAAATATATTTTTGTTTTTCTCTTATATATTGCAATTCTTCCATGTGGCCTGAACGAAAGCATATGTACTTATCAATTCAGTAAATTTCAAAACATATTTTAAGTATCAACTACCTAGTTAATAAAATCCAATGATTTAATATTTCCTTGTCGAACTTTTCACTTCGATATTATGATAATCTTTGAAAAGATTTATCAATTGATATCCAAGGTATTATCAAAATGCTATATACTCAATGGAAAAGATTTGTAAAAGGCAGAAAAATAACTAATTCCTATGGGTGAAAAAGGTTTTTTTTTTTTTTTCTTTGTTTATTCATTTTGGAGAAATGTCATCTTGACTTTTGTGAGATGTATGAAAACATGAAGAAAATACTGACAGAGATTGTACAGTTTTATTTAGAATTAACAAATTCAATTCAAAGAAAAGTAACTTAGAATAGTAATTGATATTTTATTCATAGATTCATAGTAGCGACGCAGATGCCATATTCTATAATAGGTTATCAAAACTGTCCACTACAATATATCACAACTATGAAATATACATTTGGCATGAATGATGTTTTTTATTTTGATTAAGTTTATGTAATAAATCATTATTACATTTGTTAACGGGTAGTTTTGATCGAACTGATTGATAATAATAATCTCTTTATTTTTTCAAATAATCGTTATATATACGAACGAAGATGGAAAAGACCAAAATGTAGTTGGAAAAAAAAGAAGAGGGAAAATGTCTTAACAACATCACAAGGAGACAAATTTTTGAAAAATAATTGAAGATAAAGATAAGAAAGTAAAGAAAAGAATACATACGTATATATATGTATACGTATAATATAGTTGTCATAAAAATAGAGGAAAGAAAGTAAAATCAAATATAAGTAAATGACGCTATAACAATATCAAAAGTCTTCATGTATAAAGTGTAGAACAAATAGTTTGAGAAAGGAGAAGATTTTATCAAAATAACTTACCTTGATATCGGATAAAATTTATGTATTCACACGATTATTTTTAAATAGTCTATAGTCGATTCTTAAAAATTCACTTTCTAACTAAAATTAACACAGGCAAAGTAAATCACACTCACGGCTTTTCTAACTTCACTAAATTTTTAAAAAAATTTGTATTTTCCTTCGTGAAACAAACGTTTATTAAGATTAGTTAATATATATTATAAGAACATTCGTTTTTTTTTACTAGATATTTCATTAGTTTGTATTTAAAAAAGATGATAATGAAAAATATCGTATTGACAGTATATTTCATCATCTTCTACCGATCTCCATCAGACTTGCTCAAATTTTTTTGTTCTACTACAC